GGTGACGTGGGACGGATTCGTGTTTTATGAATGTGTTGGAAAGAAGTGAGATAATAGGGTTTGACTTGCGCTGTTTTACCGTAGGTTTTAATGGCCGTACATGTGGCCGATCAAGCCCAAACGAGAAATGTATGTGTGCAGTCAGTTTGGTCAGCTAAGACAGATCCAATTGGTTGTGTTGCTGTTCCTGAACAGTCTCTGTGTGATGGACTCGCAAGTGATCGATGTGCGTTTATGGTGGTCATGCGAGAAGGATCGATTGGGAGCTGCTAAGTCGGTTGGGATTGTGATACTGTTAGTGTTCGCTGCGCTGTTGGCAGGAAAGTTACTAATCGCTTAGATGTGAGCATTTTTGTGTTTCAAGTGCGTTTGATGTGTCCTTATTGTTCTCGACAGTCGTAGGGGTTTGATAGGCAGTAGTCGCCGTAGTCGCGGGGATTTTGACACGACTGATGCCGGGGAAGGCGACCGACTGCCGATGATGGTTGTGAGAGTTGATGTAGGGGGTGACGATAGTGTATAATTAGGTTACTGCACTGTGTCCGGAGATTTCCCACGGGGTCGATTTGCTGTTCGTTGGCAATGTGAACATGCTGCGAAGACTTGTACCTTCACGTTCTGGATCGGAGGAACTTGAGACTTGCGAATTGTTATTTTAACTTTGAGAGTGCTGATTAGGTTATTTTCTTAGATTAATGTTCTGATGTCCACACCTCGTTCTCCGAGCCAGTTGCTACTAGGCGGGGACCTTTTACATCTCCAGGTCGATTGGTAGTCCTTTTTATCCTTGTCAGCTCCAGCGCAGTCGAATTTGCCGCAGCATTATGCGGATCCTGATAATTCTAGTTCCCCTCAAGCCCGGGATCTCGTCCTGCCATATGTGCCTGAAAATTCTCCAGTGTCAACTTTATTGAGTTTTCTGGATTTATTGGCTTATTTGGTCCAGGTTTTCACCCCCTTAAAGTTGGCAGCCTTGTATATCATGCGTTTGCCGTTAAAATGGAGACCACGGCGATTCTTTATGGCTTTGGACTTCCGCCACACACCTTTATAGTTGATTTTCGTGTTGCATTAGAGTTCGCTGTATAAATAGGCGAATCTGTCCACCCTCTGGGATTTGGTAGCGTTGGCAGTGATGTG